TGTTCTAGGGAACGACAACAACATGCTATGTTGCATTGCATCCACAGGTGAAGGGAGTGAGTGGCGAGAATTTTGTCGATAGTAATATAAGTAAAGCAAGTTCACTGGGCAATGATGCAGAATTGTCAAAGAAATTGTGGGAATTCAGATTCAGTTTGACAGATCCAAGTAGTTTCATATTCTATTAACATACTTTATGGTTGGGAAATGATGCACTTTATGACTATTAATGACAAATCCTTTTTGTTGTATAATTGGAGACGGATTATATCCAAATCCCACCCCCAACCCCATACCCACCAAACCACCACCCATACACCACCGACCCATGACGACGTCGAGGACGGCAATAGCACGTCGTTCGGCAAACCTTTTGAGACAGGCCTCATGCCAATAATACAGCCGCACACTCAGGTGACGACCCTAGGTGAAAACCCTAGCACCGCCGTTCAAACCGTCTATCCGACCAGAGACAAGACATTCTGGGATGGTACGACGGCTATGGGAGACAGCGAGACTGGTGGAAGATACAAAATTACAGATAGTGAAGTGAATCGGGCTGTAGCCCTAACTCAGATTCAACCAATTCCAGCCACCACCCAGGCATACGTGCCTGACCGGCGGGTCATGTAGGCAATTCTGGTCAGAGAGGAAAGGTGGCGAGATGCATGCGCCGTCGGAGCGACATGCGTTGGCACCGAAACACCTGAAAATTCTCCAGAATGTTCCCAGACCACCCACGATGCTTGTTCTATCGTCAAATGTGCCATTTATACACAATGAGGGAGAAAGTTAATCGATGAAGATGACATGGTATTCGATTATCGTTTTCGAGTGGAGGCGAAGGAGTTTACAGTTTCTGTTAACAATCTCGGTATTGTTAGGATGATTGAGTGGGGCTCGAAGATATCTAATGCAATCTGTATTGGAAGATTCGGTGCACTTTGGATGGTGAACATGGTGGACAAGCTGAGGTTGACTAGTAGGTTGGAGGACTTCGTCTCGAAATTCAATGAGACATCAAGAGCTTTCTTGGCACAACGTTGTGCAAACAGTTGTGGAAGGTACTTGACAATAGCACAGTATGGGGATAGGCGTCGGATGGGAGTTGTGATGGTGCCGGAAGGCACGAATGGAGAAGGATGGGTATCGATCTTGCGGGTGTTTCAAGCAGTAATTGATTCATTTGTTGCTGGAGATAAGGCTACACGTCGAATGGTGAACAATTGAAATCGACAAGGGATGACCTATACCAAAGTAACGGCGACCACACAGGCCCCGCAGATTGTTGATCGAAGGGTGCCAAAGAGACAGGAGAAGGTTGTTACTGTCAGTGAAGATAAAGGTAATAGTATGAGGCCTAAGTCCAAGGCAGTATACGCAGAAAGTTCAGTTGATGGCTTAGTGAATACCGTCGAAATAAGGGCTCGTGTCCAGTCATTGAAAGGGGAGTTAGATGAACTACTTAGGCTTGTAGGATGTGGATGTGTAGCGGCTCCCAAGATGCTTTATCACAAGTGTGGGATGGTAGTGGATGAAAAACGCTTGACCCCTAAGAAGCTATAAACAAAAGCAGGCCTTACTAAAGATGTGGAGGATAATAACTCAGGAACTGAAGCAAATCAGGAGGCGAGACCTTGGTCCAATGGAGGGGAGTTGAAGATGGTGAATTTGGAGTCGGAGACACCTAGAATGATGGACACGACGTCCCCGGCTGATGAACTATTACCAATTGAGCAAGAGACGTGGACATGTTTTGGCAGAGGGATTAGTCTCTACAGTACTGAAAGAGCACAAGGCTACATGTTCGAGATCCACGGTAGGGAACACGTATAACAGAAGGCATTCTAAACTCCTAAAAGAAAAGGAAATAGAGACTGACAAAGCTCTCTTGTTGTGGGTAGATGATGCTAAGCAAGGAGGCACAAATAGGGATATCAAGCTAGTGGAGGAAGTGGAGGGATATCCATGCAATCCCTCTTGCAGAGGAAACAATGGAAGCGAATGCAATTGAAGTTGAACCCCCACCTTCGAATTGGGTCCTTCAAAAAATTCAGGATTTCGGTAAGATGGTTGGTGTGTCATGCGATGGATATGAAAGTAGACTTCTGCAATTATTTGAGGAATTGGAAGGCAGTAGGTGACAG